AGCTTTTTGTTTCCAGATATGAAGACAAAACTTTAAATACATCTTGACCTTTGCATGTTTCATGTAGTTCTTTGCAGCAGAAAAGGTTTTCTTGAATTTCACAGTCATTTACAAATCTTACAAATGCCATATAACATGACATTTATTGGTGAAATCTGTTGACTCTTCAACTTGGATAGAAAAGCTGCTTTTCTTCATTTTATCACACAAAACTTCTTCAACATCATGTGACATGTCATCAATACACTGATTTATTGTACTGTTTGACAAAGGAACCTTTTCAATTTCCTGTACTTCATCTGGTCCTTGCATTTCTCCCCCTACTATTTTACATGCTGGCATGATTACTTTCTCACCCAAAGGATGACTTTTCCTTTGCTGTGTAATGAGTTCTGCTACTAAATAACTTGCTTCTTGGGCTTTTTTATTGACTGTCATTTTATTAACAAAAGCTTTATTCTGTCTGTACTTTGATTCCAATAGCTGTTTAAAATAATCAGAACTTTTAGTTGTCATATGGCTGTGATTTATAGTTAAATGTCTTTTTAATTTTGCTGGAGCCATTTCTGCATTTGTAAGTTGTTTGCCACAGATGAAGCACAGTGGAATAGGACAATGGATCACCAGTCCATATAAAACCCATTGATAGATAGCTTTCGTTGTAAAGATGAACTTTTTTTGAGTCCACTGATGTACCAGTGCAGGGAAATGCCTGAGAAGATTTACAGTGGGGCAAAAAAGTATTTAGTCAGCCACCAATTGTGCAAGTTCTCCCCATGGAGGAATGGGCCAAAATACCAGCAACAGTGTGTGAAAACCTTGTGAAGACTTACAGAAAACATGGAGGAATGGGCCAAAATACCAGCAACAGTGTGTGAAAACCTTGTGAAGACTTACAGAAAACATGGAGGAATGGGCCAAAATACCAGCAACAGTGTGTGAAAACCTTGTGAAGACTTACAGAAAACATGGAGGAATGGGCCAAAATACCAGCAACAGTGTGTGAAAACCTTGTGAAGACTTACAGAAAACATGGAGGAATGGGCCAAAATACCAGCAACAGTGTGTGAAAACCTTGTGAAGACTTACAGAAAACATGGAGGAATGGGCCAAAATACCAGCAACAGTGTGTGAAAACCTTGTGAAGACTTACAGAAAACATGGAGGAATGGGCCAAAATACCAGCAACAGTGTGTGAAAACCTTGTGAAGACTTACAGAAAACATGGAGGAATGGGCCAAAATACCAGCAACAGTGTGTGAAAACCTTGTGAAGACTTACAGAAAACATGGAGGAATGGGCCAAAATACCAGCAACAGTGTGTGAAAACCTTGTGAAGACTTACAGAAAACATGGAGGAATGGGCCAAAATACCAGCAACAGTGTGTGAAAACCTTGTGAAGACTTACAGAAAAATGATGAAAATTACAGGCCTCTCTCATCTTTTTAAGTGGGAGAACTTGCACAATTGGTGGCTGACTAAATACTTTTTTGCCCCACTGTAAATTCTTCATTATCATTATCATCATTAAACTTATTGGTATTGTCTGTTCTAGAATCCTCCTCTTCTCTCTCACACCTCCTCTTCAAAAATTGCCATATTGGACCCTCAGACATGACTGAACAAATGTGTATGAAATTTATTTAACAAGATAAAATAACTACAGGAAAACCACAGAAAAAAAGATGCAGGAGGGGGAGACTAATGTCACAGACTAAGTTGGATGGGTCCATTAATTTCTTGAAAAATGCACTTCTCCCTTCCCTTCCTTCAATATATTCCTCCCTTCCTTCAATATATTCCTCCCTTCCTGTAATATATTCCTCCCTTCCTGCAATATAGTGTTCACCTGTTATCAACGGTCTCCCCTATCTTGTGTCAAAAATTGATTCAACAAAATACAGTCCTACAGTGCACTACCAGAGAGCTCAGAAAGAGTTGTAACTAGATTTTTGTTTGGCCTCTGCTCATCACTGCAAGACCGCATTACCCAAATTTGAAATAATTTTTTAAAATAAATCATGATTTCCCAGGGAATCCCTAGTGACCTCTCGTGGAATCCTAAGGTTCCACGGAACCCTGGTTGAGAAACTCTGGTTTAACATAATTACTCTTTGACAGTACTTTGCTTTCTTGCTACTTTCCTCAGCCAGTTACTTTTTCTCAAGTGTTAAGCAGTTGTTAATTTTTATTGTCCTGATGTACTAGAGACAGAAGAAAAAAACTAGCATGGCCTACTTTTCAATCCAAGTTTCTCAGACGGTATTGTACAATATTGAAATTACTTTCTAAATTATGATGGGACTTTTTTTTTCCCCTCAGGATTTGCAGATAGAGCGAGAAAGAACTGTCTACAATATATCTGGTGGATGTACAGCTCTTGTTGTGGTGTATTTATTAGGGAAGGTCTATGTGGCAAATGCAGGTGATAGCAGGTAAGCTAAATTTTTCATTTGGTTGGAAAGTTGTAAGTAAAGTTCCTTATATTTACATTTGTGTGTGTTCAGCTAAAATTGAACATGTATTCCTGTGCTCTTTCATGGATTCCATTTTTTACAGAAATTAAAAAGTAATTCAGAATGAGATGTCTGGTTCTTCAGCTATGTCCTTTGCCACTTCCTACTGCTAAATTTATTTCAGTTCTGGCATCCATTTGGTTCCTTCTGCCAGTGTGCTAGCTGAGTTGAAGTTTCTGGGACAATCTCTGAGATTTTTTTCCCCCTCTCCTCTAAGACTCTGAGAGGTCTGTTTATTTGAATGCTGTGCCTCGCTTCTTGCTTCATCACAAGTTTTTGTCTTTGTTTATTGAAGCAAATAGGCCAGTAATCAAGAGTGAATGGATCAATTTGAAATACTGAAATAACTTACCATTATATTTTAGGTGACTGATTTTCCTGCCTTGAAAATAAAACATTGATTCATTTGGTCAAGTCATACGTACTAAAGTACCCTTAGAATGTGACCACATCCATGTGTGGAGCCCAGGACAATCTCCTCATCCCCACTTTCAAAAGGTTTTGCTTCCTGCACCCAAAGAAAGTCACTTTATAAAGTTCTCTGTCATTTGATTTGGTGGACACCATTTTCCTGTCATTACCACCATAATGTCCAAAGCGTTATAGAAGATGCAAAACAGTATCTAGGCTACCAGTACAAGTTACTTGTAAGCCACTTATAGTATTAGCAAACAAACTATGTGTGAATAATGACTAAACTCTGCTGTTTCTTATCAAATGGAATAATTCATTGAAATCATATTGCCCACAAATAAGATAAAGAATTAAGTGGTGTACAATTGTACTTAAAATTCGTAACATTCGCTCTGGTAGTCTTCCTTTATTCTTTCAGTTGCCCAGGATCAAAATATTTTAAATACAAACAATAACAGTTGGATGGTGGAGTGATAAATAATAGTACTGGAGCAAGTACAAAAGGGGAATGTAACTCTTACCTTGCTGCAATCTTGAGAAAAATCCTTTTTTTGAAGCTAGCATTTGCATTAGGATGGTGCAGTGCATTGGCCCAGAGGGTGATTCTTTCTGCTACTGTATCCTCCACTGGATATGTATTTCTTTCATTTTAGGGCAATAGCCAAACCAATATGGAAACATCTACCCAAAATGTAAGTTGCAACTACTGTACCTTTGCACAAAGAAATACAAAGACTTATTTCATTAAGAAACACTTGAGATAGAATTTATTATTGTCCTGCCTACCTGCCTGCCAGCCTACCTGCCACACATTTCAAATACATGACTCTGGTTGGCTAACAATAAATAAAAACAAGATGAAAACATCACAAAAAATAATAAATACCATATATTGCAGCCGAGATAAGAAAATCACCCACCCAAATTAACATAACGGTTTTACTGGCTTAGCCACACACCCAGGGCCCAGGCTTGGTAACAAAACCAGGTCTTCAAGGCCTTATGGAAAGGCAGCAAGGTTGGGGGAAGTCCAATCTGGGAGAATGATGTTCTAGAGGGCGGAATGGCCTATCTCAAAGATTAGACCAAGGCTTCTTACTCAGTAAGTGTATCATCGACTCAACAATGTAAGAACACCCAGTAGTTATGAGCTGGCATTATTTTAAGAAATTATCTCTGCATCTGTACTTCATATTCCTGTGACTTTACTGTTTATCATTTTCTCTCTCGATGGGTATGTGTATACTTCTCAGGATAGCAATCTGTGTGAATGATGAAGTAGTAGCCTTAAAGTAGCCCTTAAAAATGTGTGCCGTAATTAATCTGCTAACATTTAAGATGCCATTAAACTCTTTATAATAATTCCATTAGAGATAGTTGTATAGCAACCCTCGTTTCTTTCTAAAAAATCTTCTACTTCCTGTAATATGTCCTAAACCATGTTAGAATAATCCTATATAGAGCCATTACTGATTCATTTTAAGAACGTTAATAGAATTTCTGTTGTATGCAGAAGAAAGAACAACTTCATTATGATTTACATGCAAGGCTCTGTTTAAATGAGTGCCTGAATATCTATTCATTTCATCTGCAGCAGGTGTTTTAGTTACCAGACTTAGGGGTCCTTCAGCATGGCCAGCCAACGTGAGAGTTTAATTCTATTTCAGGAACTATGTTTGCAGAAAAGGAAAACAGCATTTTTTTTTCTCAGTAGCAAAAAGTTATATGTGTAGTCTGGCACACTTGACAACATTTGAGTGATATTTGACTCTTAATAAAATGGTTATGGCCTTCCTTATATTCTCAAATTAGGCTAGCTAAACTGTTGTCATAAAAGTAACTAATTTATACGTATCTGAATCTAATCCATTGTGTGTTTGTCTATGGATGTGTTTAATTTTTTCTAAAAGGTAGCCTTATCCAAAAACCTTGTCAAATGTTTTAATGGGGGAAGGGTAGCACACAATAATTACCAATGCATTCTTTTTAGATATTTGATCTCAAAGACAAACCACTGATTTTCAGTCTTTTGGAAATTGTGCAAAGGAAGTAAGGAACTGATTTTAGCAGTGTTTGCACAAAGTTTCATTACTGTTGTGCTGCAGCATTTTTTATTAGTTCTGCTAATGTTTCAGCAGTACATTACAACGTAAATGCAATGCATTAAGCATAATGCATATGAAGTGCGCTGGCTGCCAATCTCTAAAACAATTGTTACAGTATAGAATTTACAGCTGTTTTAATAGCTGCAGGTCTTCAGCCAAATATTTGTGTTCTAGATCAATACATAAAATTTAGTCTTTCTCTAGTCTCCATAATCAGCCATTTCTTTTATAAGAATTTTCTGTGGACACTTCCTTGACACATTACTTCTTCTCAGCCTAGCATACTGGACTGTTATGAACTAACTGGACCTTCTATAACTGTATGAAAAGACTTTCAGTAACTGCAGTGTTAGAGCAGTTCAGATGGTGATTGGGAAGTGGGCTGGCAGAGCAGGGACAATCCGTGAGTCCAGATGAAGCCTAATATATCTGAGTATGGCTTAGTACTATATCATAGCAAATATTGATGCATAAAAAGATATCGGAGCTGCCTAAATTGTCAATTTATTTTATTGAAATGAAAACTGGAAAAATATAAGCATATGAATGAATTTTTATCCTCAAACTTTTTAAAAAAAATTTACTGGATAAATGTATAAACAGGGTATGAACATCCTAAAATTGCTTGGAAGGGTAAATATTCATGGAAGAGAAAGGATTGTTGTACTGGAATGACTTAATTCTATTTTCTACAGGTAGTCCTCATTTAGCAACCACAGTTGGGACCAGCAACTTGGTTGTTAAGTAAAGCAGTTGCTAAGTGAAACTGCGACTGTGCTTATGATCTTAGTTCAACTTACCTTTGTTTTACAGACCTGCAAAGGTTGTAAATGCGAGGATTGGTTGCAAAGTGACTTTTTTATCACTGTCATAACTGTGAACAGTTGCTAAATGAGGCAGTTACTAAACAAGGACTACCTGTATATCTATTTGGTGGTGTTTCCTACACTCTTTTTTTAATGTGTGTTCTCCTTGGGATTGAGGAAGGAAGAAGTAGAACTCTCCTTTTTGTTGTATCTGGATGCAACTTCCATTGCAAGGATTGATGATAGAAGGTCAGATGCTCAGGTGATGAAGGTAAAACTGTTGTTGCCCTCAAGCAATATATGTACTCTTTAGCTTCCATCACTGGAAGCCACTCCAAGAAAACGTTATTGAACAAGAGAATATTCGCTTCCCCATTCAATTGAGTAGCTGATTTGCAAGCTGCTCATATTTAAATTCAAAATAAATAGATAGGTATGGCCAAGGCAAGCAGACAGTTTGCTAGTTTGCTCATTCCTTTGCTTATCTGGGCTTGCCTCACCTTGTTGTATTGTTGAGTCTCTGAAATGAAGAAAATAACTAGTTCAGTGTTTCTCAACCTTGGCAGCTTGAAGATGTGTGGACTTCATCTCCCAGAATT